CTGCGTTTCACTTGTTTTTGCGTATTACAATAGCCTTTTTTATACTTATATGGACACGCTTTTTTGCACAATTTATATATGTTTTTGGTGAGTTTTTATTTCTTACTAGATTTCCGTTATGTTAATTTCCGTTTTGTGTTTATTTTTTCATAAGAAGTCTTTTTATCTTTTTATCAACTAGAACTTTTCCAAGAGACATGATACACTTGCGATTGTGTAATCGTACGTGAATATTGTCGAGTTCTACATCAAGACTCACCCGAATTGTGCTTACGATGAATTTGCGAACTTTGTATTGCGGTTACTCTTTTTTTCGATATATTTATATTTATCTGAAGAGGGCTCAATCTTGTAGCCGAAACTTGTAACAAAATTTTTACTTATTTCTTATCTGTTATTATTTTTTATGTATCTTTTATTTTTATTATATACTTTCTTCGAATTTGTTTTTCTTTATTTGTATTTTCTTTTAATTAGATGACTATTTTTTAAAAACGAAATGTGCTGACTCTTACTTTGCCCTTTATTTATTGTTATTTATCTAGTATGTTCTTTCTTCTAGTTACAAGGCTTTTTAATGTATTTGGATGGAATATGCTAGCTTGCAATTACATTTATAAGCTATAGGCAAAAAACTTTCAGAGATAGATTTTATGTATGGAATTGTGAAAAATTTTTCCTTGATATGGATTTTATGTTTTGTAAATATTATTGTATGTATATGGTATTTTAATCTTTTTTCTATATTGGTGAAAAAATGAAGGAAAGAAGATAGCCACTATTTAAAAAGATATAGCATCAACCAAGTTCTTTCCATGAAAACGAGGATGAGACAATTTAATTATTTTGTCAACGAAACCGAAGATGACGTCTCTTTTATTGTTATTAATACTTATTTATTATTATTGAGTCATTATAATGTTATTTTTATTTAATATTTTTTATTTGAAGCGCTATACCTGGATGAAACTTCATCGGATAAAATTTAAGAAATAAACATTTTAAAGTAGATTTTTGAAGTTTTAAAATGAAAAAAATTGATATGATTTTTCAGGATGTTTGGAAAATAATGATAAATCTTTCGCATAGGGGTAGAATGGACTAAACTAAGGAGAAAAGTCCTCTACCATTTTGCAATTTTCGCAATTTTACAAAGTTAACAAGATATTAATTGCTAATATCAACTTCACAGAAAAACTGCAAGAGACGAAAATTGTTTATTTTCTTCTCATAGAACTCTACAAATTTTTTTAGAATTTTTAATCCATTTTTTACCAACATGAGAAAATACGATATTAAAAAATTCATACGCATTTCTTTTCTGATCCTTTCGAGACGTTTGTGAAAAAAATGCTGGTTTTTAATTTTTTTCCGATAAAATTCTACTCCTATTGAACTATTCTTGCTACTCGAGTTTATGACGGAGGAATACTCGTATATTATAATATAACGCGCTTGAATAATCGTAAACAAATAAATATCTCGTAAATTGTTGCGTTTTAACATGATTTATACTATTCTGGATTAATAGGAGGGGTACACTAGTATTACAATTTATTAAAATTGATATTTTATTTAGAATGCTTCCCGCTCCTTATTGATGCCTAGGGCCGCGCTGAGCGACCGAAAATATTTTCTCGGCAATTTCGCCCTAGGCATCAATAAGGAGGGGGGGGGGGCATTCTAAATAACATATAAATTTTAATAAATTGTAATAATAGTGTACCCCTCCTATTAATCCAGAATAGTATTATATAAATCATGTTAAAACGTACAGTTTACGGGATATTTAATTATTTACATGCGCGTTTTACAGTATACCTCTCCTTCGTAAACTCGAGTAGCAAAAATAGTTCAGTAGAAGTAGAATTTTACCGGAAAAAAATAAACCATCATTTCTTTTCACGAAAGTCTCAAAAGGCTATTAAAAAAAAAATGTGTATGTTTGAGACTCGAGACTTGTGAAGAAAATATGCAACAAAAAATCGAATAGTTGCAAAAAGCACATTTTTTACTTATAAAACGAAAGATGTTGATGAAAAAAAATCAATATAAAAAAAGGTATTCGAAATAACTATAAAATGAGACGTGGAACATTAATCAATTTATTAGTTCAGTAGAAAAAAAATAAAAAAATAAAAAACATCGAAAAAGGCCTTTTTTTCACTTGCTCTTTGTTCATTGAGATTTAAATGCAAAGTGCCCAAATGCGTGGGCTTGCCAAAGTTTATTCTGTATGCACATCTAATCTTACATCTCATTGTGTTATAGTTTGCGCGGAGCGTAATCGGGTCATTCTCCACCTTCATCATTATCGTCATCGGTGTCATTATTGTTATTGTTACCACGCACTACGTCAACGGTTTTAACCGCGTCGCGGTGCGGACGTTTTCGTAAAATCGCGCGTTTCAGAAATTCATTTATGTCTCGCACTTCGTACGAACCTCGGGAATTGTAATTTCTGCGTCATCTTTAGCAAAATAAAATGTTCGATTCATTCACGTCGGTATCGTGTGATAAGTCTCAAAAATCGCTAGACCGAGCTCGTAATCGCCGTCACTCAAATTTATGGCGGGAAAGTAGTTCGCCGCAAGGACGGTGCTCTTCCCGCTCAGCGTAAGCGACATGATGGAAAAAGCAACTAATACTCGGCGAGATTTCACAACATCTCGTCGAGCTTTTTAAATTCATACGCGTCTACCGTTTGTAGAAACCGCAGACGCATCTGTCCGCAGAAGCTCTGATCGTACGTCTGATAGAACGTGCGATTGTACTCTATCGTCGTAGCACCGTTCCCGAAATATCGCACCAGGCGGTTCCTTAGGCGGTCGAAGATTATCAAAGTATTTGACGCGGTTATTCCTCTTCGCGTACGCTACTCAGTGAGTATCAGGCCCCATCGCATCGTCCAAATTCATGATATCGCTTTCGTTTTGGCGCGCGCCGCTCGTCGAGTAACGCGTTACGCATGAAAACGCCTCTAAAGTATAGTATGCACATACGTCTCGCGAGTTCGTTTAATTGCACATTGGTAGTTGCGCCAGGCGGCATTTTTATCGTTTTGGCGTTTTTTTTTCTTTGCAGCTACACCCTACTTATATTTGTACTGGCCGAGATACAGTCCGCGTCCATATTTGTACGGAGCGAGATACAGTCTGTGGCCCTGATCCATCGTGCGATAGTGACGTTGCAGCTCTTCGAGCTGACATCGCGCGGCTTTGCTGTCGTTTACCGCTTTTGCCACGCTGGCCGCTCCGCCGAGCGCGCCCAACATTGGCAGAAACGGTAATGCACCGCCTCGTTTTGCCATTAGAAGTATTCGCTTTTTCGTAGCCTTTTTTCTCGTCGTCTTTTTCTTCTTCGGTTTCATGCCCATGCCGATCTTGGTCTTAACATAGCTTTCATCGCTGCCCAGACGGCAGTAGCGGCGATTCTCTCGCCCAGAGCCAAATCACTCGCGGTAATGCGTTTCCGCGCCTTCTCGGCTAATACCTTGTCTGCCGCGTGTCTATCGGTGAGATCGTTGCTGTGCGAATACGCCGCGTTCTCGGATTTATGCCTGCGTCACCTCTAGCTAATCGCTTCGTAAGTCGAGTGCCCGGGCCGCAAAACTGATAGCCCAGAATATGTAACTCGAAAGGAAACGCGTTTATCGCTTGATTCAACAAACTGCCGTCCGACGCTGGCATTCGCTACAGTCCTTTATCTTAGGTGCGGGATGTGTGTCCACTGCCACGGCTAATTGTAGTGCTTGTCGCAGCGACGATAGATTCGAATCTCCGAATCTGCCTTCACGTGTTTCGAAAGCTTGTCCCAGACGTGTTCGATGTAAACGCCGTACACGCGTAAGAGTACGACCTTCGGTATATATTACAACTGCTCGGTGCTCAGGTCTCAAATATCGGAAGAATGACACAGCGCGAGATATATTTTGCTACTGCGCGATTCGCGAGGTTCGCGCGTCTTTAAATAGTCGTTCGAGAGCGCCCAGCCCATAGTGTGAGCATTAAATTCATGCCGCTGACGATACGCGTCACGAACTGCGACGAGAAATCGCGAATGATGGGGGGTAGCGCGGAGAAGCGCAAGCACGGCGAAATGCTGCCGAGTACTATACGCGCGATCATTTGCCTGTCGAATTGCGGTAAAACCAACGTTCTCATAATTATTCGAAAGCCCGAACGGTGTACGTTTCGAAAACGTGTACGTTTTCTATTCGAAATCGTTGCAACAACCAAAATATCTCGATATTTCGAAAATTTGTTTACGTCTATCGATGAAATCGGTTATTTTACGTTCTCCAACAGCAACGTCGTTTCACCGAGTGAGGCGCGCCTAAATTCTATTATCTTTGATGACGTGGCATGCGACAAGCACGATGCTGTGAGAGAATACTTTTCGATGGGTCATCACGCGAATGTCGACTGTTTTTATCTCTGACAGACGTACGCGAGCATACCTAAACATCTGTTACGCGACAACACGAACCTTCTGATCCTTTTTAAACAGGACCATACTAACTTGAAACACGTTTACATCATGTGAATACCGACATGTTGTACGAATTTTGCGCGTTGCGCCGCAATTGTTGGCAACAAAAATATGATTGATTATATGTACTAGAATGATCCCAATAAGCTGGTGAATTATCTATGATTGTTCAACGCTTCGCACCGAGCAGGCAACAACGCTCATGACAACGAGATGCTGTCGATCATCGAGGATGCCTTCGCGAAGCCAGTCTTATTATAAATTAAATCGCGTATTCATAAAATGTGTTAGTCGAGTGACACCGGCGAGAAAAAATACATTATTTTTCTTGTACTCTGTGTATTACACGTCGACTCATGAAAAGGAAATCTGATGAAAAGAGAGAAAAAATTAGCTCCGAGAGACGTCGGCTCGTCGAGGAATTGCACGCTTCGGCGAGAAGAAATTTTCTGCGAAGGTGCATCATAGTTCGGGGATACGACGATCTATGGCAGACTGATATCGTTGAGATGCGCCCGTACTCGGGCTTCAACAGAGGCCACCACTACATACTCACTGTCATCGATGTGTTGAGCAAGTACGCGTGGACCGTACCGCTCAAGAGCAAAGGTGGAAGCGAGACGGCTAACGCTATCGCTGAGATCATTCGAGAGAGTGGAAGATGTCCGAAAAATTTACAAACGGATATGGGGAAAGAATTTTACAACGCTGATGAACAGAAAATCTTGAAAAAACACAACGTTAATCACTATTCCACGTATTTGACGTTAAAAGTGTCAGTGGTCGAGCGGATCAATCACACGCTCAAAAACGACATGTGGAAGATGTTTATACTCAACGACAATTATAAGTGGGTCGACGAGCTGCTGCATCTCATGTTAGATTACAACGCGCGCAAGCATCGCACCATCGGCATGTGACCTACCGACGTAACTTCCATGATCACCGAAAGACTCTTGGGCACAGTGTACAGCGCGATAAAGATACGCGGATCCTGCAAAATTTAAAGTAGGCGATTCGGTACGCGTGAGCAAGTACAAGACGATTTTTGAGAAGGGTTATACACCTAATTTGAGGTGTTTAAGATCGAGGTGTTTACGATCGTTAAGGTGTAGCGTACTAATTCCGTAACCTATCTATTTGAGGATTATCGTGGAAAATTTGTCGCTGGAGCATTCTATGAGTACGAGTTGCATCGCACTACTCATCCGGACGTGTATCTCGTAGAGAAAGTGTTGCGCAGGAAGAGGAACAAGGTGTACATCAAATGGCTGAGATTCGATGAATCGTACAATTCATGGATACATAAAAACAATGTTATTTGATAAAATTTTAATTGATATATTTTGTATAACAAACTAACAATATAAGTATATAAAGTGTAAAATATATTTTTTATTATCCTTTCCATTTTTTCGTTTTAGAGTATACAGATATAAAATACGTACATAAATGTATGATAATTGAAATGAAAAATAATAGTAATACATAATAAATAGCACTACATAAAACATAATAATACCTTATACAAACGTACTTATATAAACGTAAAAACATGCATGATGTGTAAATTATAATGATAATAATACATAATAGTAACACGTATGTACATTGTATGAAAATATTAAAAAATGTAGAAAGACATACACGAAGTACAAATTAAGATGATACATAAAGCATAATAATAGTTGTTTTGTGACGGGTGGCTGGTGTCACCTTGTACGGAAGGTTCAATTCTCTTTGTTGTAATGTTAGATTTATTATAGATACGAATAACGATTTCGAAGCGGGCGGTAGGCGATGCTCGTAACAATAGTAGCGATGATGGATTTCGTTCGGTAGATGCGTGTACAGCTATTTTACGCTTGGTACGACTTGGAGTGATTTCTCACAACCGTTCGACAGAATGCGAGCAATAACAAACTGGCAAATTTCGGCGGAAACTCTGGTTATTTTCACGCACTTAATGTTCTCACGTATACCGGTCACGGTAAGTGACAGAACACTGATAATACGCGACAATAATTTGGTAGGTTCGCACTTAATTCGAGAAGATGCGTTGAGAATGAGTATTGATTGTATGTGATCTTTATCGATCGGAATCGGGCAGCGAACTGAATATTCGCACGCGGAACGTGTGCTCGAGGGTCCGCTTTTCGAGAGTTGCGCACGGGGAGGTCGCGTGCCGTCTTGAGACAAACAGCGTGATTCTAACGATAATTCCGGAACAATAGTAATATGTTATAATACATATACGCTATATGAAAATATAAAAAATGTAAAAACATAATAGTAATATAAATGTTGATAAATAAATAAATAAATAAATATATTGTATATATATATATATTACAAAGGTATTCGCCAATGCCCCCACCATAATGTCTCCGTCGAGTCCAATATCATTTGTCGTCGTACGGATTCAGAGCAATTTTCGATTCGGATATCGTGTATACCTCGTGCAGTTTAGATCGTATACATGATTGACGACGAGTCATTTCGATCTATTCGTTATAATCGTCAAACGTTATCGTTCGCGCTACGACGTTACTCTTTATACCTTTCGCCTTTTTAGTGTTCTTCTTGCCGTCCACCGCGTACAACTTCGCTCTGAGACCAACGATTCGGCCATTATCGCACTATTATTTTCGTCCTTCATCAGACCGGGTACTTTTTTATTTGCGAGAGGCATACCGTACGTCAGATAATCGCTCGCGAATCTAGCGATATCGCGTTTCATAGTCTCGTAAACGTTCTCGCACTCGATGCAGTATGTAAGACTGTCTGTGTCGGTGTATATAATTTTACATTTGTTGCGAAACAGTGGTAAACATCGAATACCGCGTTGTTCATTAGTTTATACAAATTTTTCTCGAAATCGTTTTTTCGCGCGCATTCTGAAATTTGTATTAAATTCAATGTAATCGCGAAGCCATGGAGATTACGCGAATTGTATTACCCGATGGATCTTTGTTACACGAAGACCGTGACGAGTACATTGTTGCAGATTGCGGTAGTGAATGACGTAACGCTGTTTATCGTATAGCGTCGCTAGAAGTTTATGTTCACGCTTGCCGGGCGGCTTGTCGCGCATCGGACAGAACGGCAAGTCAGTGTGTTGGTCATATATAGTAGATGCTGCACATACTCGAAATCGACTTCGAGAATGTAACCGGTGGGCGAATCCAGAGCGATCGCGCTCACGTCAAAGTTCGCAGCGTCTTCGACCCATCGAAATTTGGCAATGGTTGACACATCGTCCACCCGCATAAATTGTTAATACATGAAGTACGATGACGGTTCTGACGGATCATACGAATGCATATACTTGTTATTAATCTGTGCGTATCTGCCTGAACATTAACTGAGGCCACCGCGTATACCACGCTCGATAAACACGATCATATCAATATCAGTAAGCAACTCAAACTTTACGCGCGTATGTTTTAACATCGCATCCCACGTGAAACCAAACAAAATGTAATAATGTGCTGGATCGAGATCGTAATTCGCGACACAACTTTCGCGGAAATTTTCGAAAATGTCGGCCAATAACAAGACATCAGTTTTCAAGTACAGATCACTGTACTCCCCGAGTGTTCGGATGGAAAATCGCTTTTATACGTTTGCGGCGTGAGCGTAATTGCTCTCGGATATCGCTCGTTAATGAACTGTAAAATGATTCGCGCGGTGGTAAGCGCATGTCCTGCAATTTTTCGACACAGTACAATGTACTCGTACGGAAAGACACCTTTACGAGTCAGTAATTCAAATTCATTATCCGATAGTGTTGAAAAGTTTGAACGTATAATTTTTAATTTGTCTTTATCGAGATATGACGCTAATTTATCGAGGCTTGTACTGAGAAATTTGAAAGAATAAAACGTAATTTTACACAATTTTTCTGAAAATTATCTTCATTTTTGTCTTTAGTGCTATCGACATGTTTTGTAAAGAAAATATATTTTTCTTTGGTTATCGGTAACACATCTACATGTCCATCGTACGCAATAACAATTTCTTTAATTATAAAGTGCGCGTCGTAGCCCGATAAATTATAAAAAACGGTCGGGATATATAATGAATTTTTATAATTTAAATTACAGTTTGAATGCGCTGAACCACGGTATCCACCGGTGAGATGACAATGATCGCGTACCTGCGTCCGACGCGAATGGTTTCTCACAAATGTGACAACGCGTCGCGGTACGATATGCATTGTTTTTTCGACAACATTTTCATGAGCACGTTGGCGGATACAATATTTTTCACGCGATGAGCCAAATCGTTGAGTTGTCGCGCGAACCATGCTATATAGTCTTCAAATTTGCGACAAAAGTGACACGATGATAACGCGTCATCGTACGAGCAACGCACGTAGTAGCCTATGCTGAATACCTCATGCTGTTGATACACGTACGACGATGCATATTCTTTGTCGGGTCCCGTCTTCCGTAAAACGCACTCCAAGTCGGCGTAGACGATGAATGGGACGCGCTCCTTATTGCAATGGTTCCCAAATTTGAGCCACTTATCGTCCACGCTCGGCAGTCGGATAGCGCAGTCATTCATTTTCCCACAGTCCATTGCGTGCGACTGCAATTTTTCGTTCGTACTGAAGTAATGTAAACATCTGAAAAAAACAAAAAATTATAATTATTACCATTATTTTATTAGTAAGACGGAAAATTATAATAATTCTTTCATATGTACTTATCGATCGCAGAAAAGTTTCTTGTTTTTTTCCCCACTAATCTGCAAGCTTACGAGACGCGACAAGTTCTTGATCCACGCAAAGTGTCTAATGTTGTCGTCACGTGGATCTTGTAGGTACAGAAGATTGACATGTTTGTTTCTCTTATCACTGGTGAGCCGTAGAGGAAGGACTTATTTATTTTCGATATCGTACACGTTGATCGACACCGCATTCAACCGTTTGAATTTAGAAATGTCTTTTAAAGTCATTGGAAATTCGATACCTGCGAGACCTTCAACACTGTCGTATAATGATACAATGACTCTCGCTCCATATACTTTTCAGCCGGCGACTACTGACCACGCGAAGCACGCATTGTCCGTTGTACACACACTGATCACCGCTCGTTTCGTCACTATTTCCCGCGGCACTTTGATATGGCATCCGGCGCTCATGGGGTTTAATTTGATCACATTGATAGTCAAATTCAATATACATAATAATGGCCGCTGTCGCATTTCTGGAACTCTTCGAGTGATGTCAATGTGGGCTCGATGACATGCTACTCGTACCACTCGTGCACATCGGTGTATCGATATATCTCAATGTTCTTTGTAATTATGCTCTTATTAGCACGTTTATCCTTCATCGCAAACTTGCCATTGAACGCAGTGTTCACTTTTATACTACCGTGTCTTTCTACAGCGTCCCACACTCGAGTACTATTTCTCTTGCGTCTTCCAAAAACCATTGCAGCTCAATGTAATCCATGTTGACCACAGTGTCCGTCAATATACGGCTTTCAAACGCGGCGTCGATCTTTCGCCAAATGAGATCTTTCATCGCGACTCGTGTACCCGCCACCAACATGCACGAAACTTTGCTTTAATTGTGTCTTTGCACCTGCGAGTCGCGCGATCCTCGCTACCACGGATTATTTGTGTCCAACGGCGAGGCACGGACGCTTAGTACGACAAAGTTCTTCGAGCCACTCTATGCACTCGTCGTATCGTTGCAACCACGCGAAACACTCCACCAGAGTAGCAACCTAGCCGTACTGCTCCAACAGTTCACGTTCCACTCGCTCATGATTTTTTTTTACAGTCTTTAGATCACGTCACACTCTTCCACAGAGCACTTGTACGTGACTCGTTTACACTCGTCAGCACCGCGACATATCTAGAATGTCATAACGTTCTAACACCTTTTTATTATGTTTGTTTA